AATCTCTCCTCGCTCTCCGTTCTCTTTCAGTATTCTCACTCCATTTGGTGCTTGGCTGAGTTCTTTATCTCTTCATTTGATGTTCTAGGGTTTCAGGATTTTTGCATTCTCTGTTTGGCTTAGTTTTTCGGATCTTTGCTGTGGAGGGACGGCGTGGTGCTTCTGCCTAGAGTGCCATCTTGCCGGAACCTCTAGATAACAATAGTTTTAATTAAAAAAATGTGAAATGACTCATTAATATAAAAGTCTGTTAAAATGATTGTTTTATTAACAGTTAGGGTAAGCACAATTTTGAAAATTTCCCTGGTAAGCATAATGTCTCTGTAAAATTTCACAGGTAGTGTGTACTAAGAACTTTTCTGCTAAAGACAACTTGCAAATTATTTCTGAAAAGATATCTATTACCACTGTCTGTTTTCAGTAGCGGAGACAAAAAGTTTGAGTGATCATGTTATAACACACATTTCCTAGTTCCAAAGTGATTATTAGACTTCAAAATCAGACACTAATTAGGCAATGTCATGGACATAAATGGTTGTTGTTTTAATGAAGAGAAAAGAGAGATGAGATTGTTATTTGAGACAGTTATTTCTATTTTTCATTTTTCTGAGAGTCCTTAGAACTCAGGTAATAAAAGTACAAAGTCTTTGGAGCTTTTTGGAGTTTTTGTACCCCTTTGCCTGAATTGATACTTGATGTACAATGATCTTGCTGTTATACTTGCTTATTAAGAAAGAGGACATACTTGGGCCCTAAGGGGATTAAATGACACATTTATAAATAGATTTATAAATTAAAATGATTCTCATTTTATTTAGTATGCAGTCGACATTTCTGGAGGAATGGTAACATCTGATATAGACGTAGTAAAATATCGATCGAAGCAAGGAAATTTGCATTGGTAAAATACTGTTAATCAGATTACAGATCTTATTCTATTTTCACAATTTGTAAATGCACCTGTGTGTGTGTGTTTAGTTCTAGACTGTCTGGATCCATGTATAGATTCATTTAACTGCAACCATAATTTAGAAACAGAACTACTCCATTACCACAGAGGAACTCCATGCTACCCCTTATAGTCTAACCCAACCTCCCAGCCCTGCCTCTGTCCCTGGCAACGACTAATCTATTTTCCATCTGTATAGTTTTGTCATTTCTAGGATGTTATATAAATGGAATTGTATACTACATAATCTTTTGAGACTGGCTTATTACACAAAGGATAATGCCTTTGAGCTTTTTCCAAGTTATTGCATGTATCAAAACCAATGATCTTGAAACCATGTTTCAAACCTTGCCCTGCTCTCAGTGACAACACAATGCTACTTCACTTGATAAATGTGAAGACACTGACAAAAGATAAACCAAGATCTATATAAATATTGTTGTTTGCACTGTTAGCATATTTTAAAAATTGTTCATTTTAAGTGTTAAGTCAATTAATAATTGCAACAACTAGAAAGATATATA